CAGACACCACACCAGGGTGTGGTAGAGTCTGTTTTGGGTTTTTTTTCACGTTTTTCACAATTTCTTTGCCGTTTTCACAAAGTCTTCGCTAAATATAAATGTAGATCGTATTCCCTTGACAAAGACCCCATCTCCTTGAGCTTTGTTTTTAGTTCTCTCCCACCTCGTAGTGCGACCCCTCAGATTTCCACAACTGTAACGAGTGCCTGGTATTGAACCGTAGTATGAGCTCCTCGCGCAAAAAGAACAGTTATAGAAAGTTCTTGGCTCATTTTCGCAGATATTGACCACCAAATCTTCGCGTAAAATTTCGGCTGCATTTCGAGGGCGAAGCAGCATGGTCTTGCAAGCCTCTGTATGGAAATAGTGTGAGTCAAGGTTCTCCACAGTTTGTTAAATGTTGGCAAAGCTTCCTGAAGATGACGAGTTCTTCCCCGAAATCCTGATGATTGTAGCGACAGGTACCGTGAGGAAGCTGAAGAGTATGTCGACAAATTTGTGGTGGGACTCTGCAAAGGCAACCCGGTTCTTCTCCTTGTCCACCATAAGCTTCACAGGCAGCTTCTTGTTATTATCAGCCATGGCAGTACAATTTGAGAAAATATTGAAGCTTTTTTTCTTACTTATAGGAGGAGAAACCTGAAATAAATGGTTTTTCCTTGGAACTAGGAACATTTTATTTACACTGGGGATAGTTCATTCTTAAACGTACATTCAAGAGGTTTTCATCTCTCCTCTCACATTCCTTTTGGTTCTTGGTCTACTGAGGAGTTGAATATTTTCCTCAATGTTCTCCAATACTCACTCGCTACTGAGCAGCTAATAACTGCAGGAAATTTCCAAGACAACACTTTGTTAGAAATGAGATAACTATTGGGAAACTGCATTTATATATTAATTGGAAGGAACATAAATAATCATCATTCACGGAGTTTCGTCTAAGGGCATGTTTGTTTCGTCCAAAAAATGCTGAAAATGAAGGAAAATAGCCTTTGGGAAAACTGACGCGGGCTGAATCTGTTGCTTCCCCCCACAATCGGATGTTTGCTTCGTAAAAAAGAAAAAAGAAAGTGAAGAAAAGAGTGGACATTCTGACAGCTTTTAGCATCGGCATTTTTCCGCTCAAAAACCGCTGATTACAGCGAAAAATGAAGGCTTTCTATCTCCAGCACAAAAAAAACCCTTATTCCTCTTCCCCTTCCATTCTCATTCTGGTCACCCCTCTCTCCTGCTCCCGCCCCTCTCTCCCGCTCTCGCCCGAATCAACCAAGAATTTACTCCTTCTCCTTCCCTCCCACCTTCCAATCTAGGGCTCAGCCTATTCTCCCGTTGCGGCCTCCCCTCCACCCACTCCCTCTTCGGCGTCGACATCGCTATCCTCGCCGACGATGCCCTGCTCCCCCTTGCCCTCCACCACCACACCTCCTCCCCCCGAGTCGTCCACCTTTTAGGTTTGTTTGGATCGCATTTGCGCTATCTGACATCGATTGAAACCCTAGCCTTAAAACAAAAGGGAAAACACGACAAGATCTTGGTTGATTTATGGAGGTACAATCCTAAAAATCAATTCTTTTGTATTTATTCAATTTTTTATGGCTTTCATTTATTGATTTCGTTCTTCCTTTGACATCAGGTTTAAAATTTGTCTAAGTTTGGGTATTTTGACCCTCATTTCCCACTGCGATTTGCACAAACTACTTCAAATCCGTAGTTGTTGCTTGGCAGGTGTAGATATTAGAGATTATCTACTACGGTTCTCTGCTTTCTGTCACTAGGAAGGTAAAAAATTTTAACGGTGATTATTTTGTGTATTTTTCCAGTCTGCATGTCATGTATTGGAGGATCTATTTCAGTTTATATAATTTTATTTGGTTGTTTTTTGAGATTTTGGTATGCAGACATCTATTTATTATTTGAAAATTTTGATTGTAGAAATTATTAATAGCTTATCTAACTTGTCTTAATTTGATATGTATAATCTTTGCAACTTATATCTCATAGAAATTATTAATAGTATGAGATTGTATCTTATCTAACTTGTTCTCATATGATGCGTTGGAGAAATCAATTTTGCAACTTATATCTCCCAAAATAAAGCAAGCGTAGATGCTAAATACGATATTGTAAGAGGATCAAGGTGAATGATTTCACCTTGATGGATTGAGAGTATCCTACATATTTCTAGTGTGACGTTTGTATTTTGATAAAATAGTTTGATCATCTGCAGATAGGAGAATTAAAAAAACATTTCATAAATAATTATGATAATTTTCCTAAAAGATTTTGATCATTTGCATTTAATGTTGGTATTTGCTTTGTATTTTAGATGGATGGTGATCTCGACGAAGAGACAGTAATTAATATGTGTTCGGGTGTTGCACTATCTATCTTAGTTTTGGTTATGACCTTCATGAGGAGAATGCAAAGCAGACGTAGATCTATACGTGCAGGTCCTAGTGTTGAGAAAACAAAACAATGTAAAAATAGAAAACAACACTTGGATCGTATATATAATGGATTTAGTGATAGTTGTGTCAACTATGTTAGAATGCGTAGTGGAGCTTTTGTGAAGCTTGCAGGGATAATGAGGAGGAACGATTTATTGCGAGACTCAAGACATGTTACAGTGGAGGAGCAACTTGCTATGACTTTGAATATTTTGGGGCACAAAACTAAAAATCGAAGTATTAGGTCACATTTATTAGATCTGGTGAGACTGTGAGTAGGTATTTCAACAAAGTGTTAGAAGCAATTTGCCACATACGATCACGTTTTTAAAGACAAGCACGGGATGAAGTTCCACAGGAGATCCTTAGCAACCCTCTATATTATCCTTATTTCAAGGTATTCTCTCTTTAATTTGTGATTAAAAGCATGTTCATCTAATATTGTTGAGAATAATATTGTTGATTTCTCTCAACAACAAACTCTAAGGGAGCAAACACAATCAAGAATCGTATGGAAGGATCGTAAAGATCAAATAGCTTGGGCAATGTGGGTTGATTATTGTGAAAAATATAAGGGAGGGAATACTAATGAAGTAGGCATGGGTTGATTATTGTGAAAAATATAAGGGAGGGAATACTAATGAAGTAGGCATGTGATGCAATGTATTAGGTATACTATCTTATGTTAGGGAATACTAATGAAGTAGGCATGTGATGCAATGTATTAGGTATACTATCTTATGTTATGCATTTTTTCTATTTCATGTACTTTATTTTATGATGGCGTGATGCAAAACTATGTAAGGTTAATTGAGAAACATTTGTATGTTACAGGCATGTGTTGTATCGATTTTTCTATTTTCATGTACTATTATGTGTTAATTTAGAAACATTTGTATGCTACTATTATGTGTTGTATGGAATTTTCTCTTAGGACACTTTCTTTACTCAACTTGCGTTTATTTTTCACATTTCTCTACAACTATTTTCTAGGTATGGCCGACAACTTCAATTGTGAGGAACTTGATAAGGTCAAAGGCAAGAGTACGACATCAAATTCATCACCTAGAACCCCAAGGAATTCATCAATCCCTTGTGGGTTCAACCCGAGATTTATGCCTTATCACTCTTCACAAGTTGGCCAAGGTCCTAATTTTTGGAATAATTTTCAAATGCAAGATGCTAACTTTTGGGGAATTGGCCAACCACCGCCAATGTCATTCATGAACATGCTAAATGCTCCTCCAACTTTACAACGTCAAAGTTATAGCATGAGCGAAACTCCGTCACCTAATCAACAATGTCAAAGCAACAAGAGAAGTGATATTGATATTGATGGTGATGAAAGTTCATCTCCTAATCCAAAGAGGAAAAAGAAAGCTATTGCTCATAAATCTAAAAAAAGAGGCTTGCAAGCGGAGAGTTAACCAATTATGAGAGAGTAAACATGATGATTTGCTAATTTCTTTCCTTGCAAAGTGTGCTAAAGAGGGAATGAAGGCGGATAAGAAGTTCAAAAAAACCGCTTATTGTAGCGCCGCCTTTCATATAAATGAACAATTAGGTTCAACGTTCACCACCGAGAACGTGGAAAATCGTATGAAAACTATTCGCAATAGATTCTTGTACTCTCTGCTTTGGTTTCCAGCTCTTGGTACTATTATGTGTTGTTGGTCAGCTATGGTTGGCCTTTGGTTTCATGTTGATGCTTGGCCTTTGTTTTAATTTTGTGCATGGTTTCAACCTGCTCTCGGCCTTGGTTTCAGCTCTTGGTTGGCCTTTGGTTGGTATGCATATTTTGTGTTATGATGATGGGCTATTATTAAGATATGCAGCCAAAGTTTATAGCAACAATATATTGGCGGGGCAATATATTGCAGCCAACATTGCTATTTATAAACTTTATGGCGATGCAGATAATGAAAAATGGTCTTTTCTGAGCACAACTATGATGATGGGTGGTAATCTTACCATGGTGACCACAATCAAGTTTTCTTGATTTTTTTAGTTTGAAACAAACACTAGAAAATGAGGGAATCTATTCACACATCAATTATTTTCTTCTTTTTTCAAGTTGAACCAAACACTAAAAAATGATGTAAAGTGATTTCACTACATATTTTTGGGCGAAACAAGCACAAGAAAGTTTTTTCAGGAAAGTGAAGGAAAGTCATCTATGGAAAGTGAAGGAAACGAACCAAACAGGCCCTATGTAAATGTCGATGATGTCGTTCTCCGCTCTCAAGTGTTAATGACATCGCCAGTTCATCATTTACATGTGTTGTACATCATTTTCCGGACACTGTGTCCTTTAGAAATAGTACTCGTCTACAAATCAATCAAGAGGAGGTTCAGCCACATTAGAACAAGGCATATACTTTCTATCTACACTAAACAAAATAAGGAGATTAATTAAGAAAGAATATAAGAGGGTTAAACTCCGCCTAATGTGGCCAAAAATTGAGGCCATCGTACAAGGAAGGAGAGGAAAATTTTCTGCATCAAGATATGCTGTGAATAGCAAAATGTATCAAAAGTTTCTAACGAAAAAGATTGACTGAAATTACACGTCGTATGTGTGTTTCATTAGTTTATCAGAAGTCCACCAACAATATCGGATGGATAATAACACAATATTAATTCCAACAGCACTGCATAATTTCAATCAATGGCTGTTAAGAAAGACAACCGATACAACAAAATAACAAACTCAAAATATTTCCTAATCAAAACTTCCCTCCTTCATTCTTCATCCTCTTCATCATGAAACCTCAAGTGCTTCCCCTCTGGCACCGGCAACCCTCTCAGCAGGAGCGCACTCGGCGATCTATTCTTCGCGCGTTTCTCCTGGATCACTTCTTCTCCTTCGATCTCGTCATCGCTGTTGTAAACAAACCGAGTGTGCTTCCCCTCAAACTTCTCCTCTTTCACTGTCATCTTGCTCAGCCCTTGGCAGATATCATCGAAATAATTTTCAGCTTCCTCATAATACTCTTCTTCTTCTTCTTCTTCTTCTTCTTCACCATCAAAATCTTCGATTTTTTCTTCCTCTTCGTCTTGGATGCTGACATTAACTTGAATTGACCAAGCTGAGGAGCTGTCATCTTCAAGGGATTTCTCTGGTGAATCGAACAGTAGTGCTCGGTTGAGCAGGTTTTCTTGAGGATTGACAGCCTCCTCTGGCTTTATAGCTTCGGCAATCTGGTGATTAAAGAGCACCCAAGATTTTCTTTTAAAGAAAATTTTGAGGTTTATTGATGAATTAGTTCGTAAGAAGTCAGTTAGCAAACCTGAATCGGCTCAATTTTGAGACTGTTTTCATCTACAGAGACATGCCCATCTTCTTCCTCCACTTTCTGTAGCAAATTCTTTACCTGACCCCTGAGCAGGTCCTCACCGGATCCAGGTTCGTTCTCAACACAGACCCGGGTTTTGATAGCTGAAGAAGACGGTGTCTTCTTCAATAGTGTTCCTGCAGCCAGGCCGACAATTGGGGATTCGTTGGTGATGTCGAGCAAAGCTGATCTCTCAGAGTTCTCTTTCTTGATTTTCTCTGTAAAAAAAGATAGAAACACAGGCAATACCCAGGTTAAAGAGTGGGAGTGAATGAGATTTTGATTTATTTTGGGATTGGAATTGAGATTTCTTACGAGATGCGATGGAGGTCTGAGACCTGGCGACCCTTCTCATTGATGATGGAGTTTCCATTGAGACCTGAAGAAAGAAAGAACCCACGATGAGAAATCAATCAATAGCTTGATTCTTGAAGAGAAAAGTTAAATAGGTATTGGTAAAAGTTTTACCTTTGATGAGTAAGCTTGAACCTCAATGAGAAGAGAGAGCGAAGGAAGAGAATACAGAGAGTTTATGAGAAATGAATAAGGTGGGGAGAGAGAGATGGGAGGGGGTTTATAAATTTTTGAAATTTTGAAATCGAACAAATTTTCACTGTAGCCTGATTTTAATTTTTTATTATCAAAATCGACTGTGTATCCTTTTATTTACTGAAATCGACCGGTTTTCTCGCCACGTCAGCGTCGTGGCGAGAAAGCTGGTCGATTAATTTTTAATCGTCTTCGTAAACAGTCGGGGTTGGCAACCCCGACTGTTTAGTCCATCGCCTGTTAAGAGGTTAACTAAATGGTCGGGGTTGGGAACCCCGACCATTTCGTAAGAGACCTATTTCGAAATGGTCGGGGTTCCCAACCCCGACCATTTAGCAGAGCCCAGCGATAGCTGGGCTGAACCACGGACAAAATGGTCGGGGTTGGGAACCCCGACCATTTCGAAGCTCATTTTTAATTGGTCGGGGGCCAACCCCGAAAGTAGTCGGGTTTGGGAAACCCGACTACTTATTCTGGGTTTCTTACCGTGTGCTTCGACAATTTGGACTACGGCAACATATTCCAGCGCCTGTGGAGAGAATAGAGAGAGATCCAAGAAAAGGTGCACATCGTGCTAATTGGCAAATAATTCGCCAAAATTACATCCATAGGTGGGTTTTAAGGGAGGAACAGGTAGTGATGGAGAGGGCTGATGCACCTGACCTAGGTGTGTACCTACGGTGGTATTGGGGGATTACTCGCCGGTGGATATTTCAGGAAAACAAAGCCCCGAAGGAGTACATACCAAGAGGCCCAGTCGAGAGAGAGTTGGTAAGTGTATAAGAAAAATATACAATTATTTTCTGAGTTTTATTTTCTCACCATCCACTTGATAATAATTTTCTTTCGGTTTTTATTTTATAGGTACAAGAGCTCGAAGAGCTTTCCAGAATGGCACATGACGCATTGCGCACGACTACCGAGCAGGAGCCGAGGAACATGTTCCTTCGAATGATAAAAAAGATACGGTCGGCTCTTCAGAGGACGCGTCACGCACGCCGTGATGGACGGGAGGAGCGACCAATTGAGTTCGGGCGGCGACGTCGACGAGGACACACGGGGGCGGGATCAAGCTATGCGCATGATGAAGCTGGCGGCTCACAGCAGACTCAGGCCGAATGTTCACAGGAGGTTCGAGACGACGCGGATAACATGCACTCCCAACTTCACACACAACCGGACGAGGAACTTATCCGAGCTCACGTCGAAGGTGATCGAGGAAGGGGGAGAGGAAGAAGAGGGAGAGGGAGAGGGAGAGGGAGAGGAAGAGGGAGGGGAAAGGGCATTGTTGAAATTTGTTAAGTTTCGATGCACTTGATAGGATGTTTGCGTTTGAGTTGCAATTTGGACTTGATATGTTGTTTGTGTTGCGATGGATTTGATATAATGTTAAGTTTGCGAATATGAATTGTACGTATTATATTTGTGTTTGTGATTGTATTGTGAATTGATAACAGGAGTATGATTGCATTTTAGCATGTGTTATTTGTGATTACATTTTGTACTACAGGAAGTATGAGTTTTCCAAGTAAATGTGGGCTGGAATGGGGTCTGCAAAATGGTCGGGGTTGGGAACCCCGACCATTTAGCAGAGCCCA